GCTGTTTACTCAACGGGCATCTTTGAAAAGATATTCAGAAACAAAGACAGTCTGTGACTGTGCTCAGAGGAGAAGCAGAAACACTGTCATGAGTCCTGGTGAATTTTCCCTGGAGTATACAATTCAAGGCCACAGTGTTTAATCTGACCAACATACGTTGGAACCAGATTTGCTCAGAGGATACCATCAACAGACTTCCAGCTTCAGGAAGAATCCAAGCTGCAGGATTGATTTCAACTCTATCTTCAGAGTTCCAGACCAAACCAGCTTAACAAATCTCATAAACAGAGTCTACCTCAGAAAGCAAGATGTCTTTCTCCCTTAAGACTCTATATTGATATTTTCAGTTGATCCAGGTACTACAAGATGTATTCAAGAAAGTGGGCAATTTTATCATCACTACTAACACTAGCCATAGAGTTGAGACTGATCTGAATACTATCCATTTTAGCTAAAGTTGCAGATAGATCCTATTCTACTTTTTGTTGGTGAATGGATGCCATTTTGGGGAGTCATTTGTCTCTCTGGCCATTTTCCTCAGATCATCAATGGTAATCTTATTTTGTAGAGCAATTCACATTATTTCAGGGGTGCAGGAATACTGGTTGTGTATTCTTAAACACTTGATAATCCTTTATGATGATCTCTTAGGGTAGAAGACAGTGTTTTCTGGAGGCATGCAAGTTAATGCTTGACTTCCATATAAGAAGGGGCACATCTGCTACTTCTGGAAAGAAAGTGTTGTTTATGCTTGTTGGAGTTCCTCAACTGAAGTTACATCCGTGTTCTCAATAGGTACATGCCTAAAAATGCCTTATGGCATGGCTCCCTGGCCAACTTGTAAGCATTAGGGGTTCTAGTTGACTAATTGAATCCCATCCTTCTCTATGTTGGGCCACTCAATCCAATATGTCCTGTCTGCTCATGACACAAGTTAGATAGCATTTATTTATTTCTGGAATGGCTTGGCAATAACTAGAGTAATGAGGGTGGGGTACCCATTCAGTGATGTTGATAAGCATTTTATTTGGAAGGTGTGGAAGTTGGAGCATCCAGGGCTTTTTCCAGTTGAGGGGCAATCTGGCTGGAAGACAGTGTCATTAATTTGTTAAATCCAGGGGGCTAGCAACAGTTTTGGAGAGCCAAATTAAGACATATATTTTTATGAGGAATGCTTTAGGGGAAGTTTTGAAAGACACAGGATGACTAATGTTTCTTCTTCTCTTATACTCTTTGAATCTAAATATTACTTCCCCAGTGCCTGGATTTTTTTTTTTTAGCTGCCACAAGTATCTATTTTCAGTAACTATAACTTCACCTTTTGTTCAGTCATCCCCTATTCACAGCAGTCCTTTTGTCTAGAAAGATTAGTAATATTGCCCTTGCAGAGATCCATTATGTCCTCCTTTTAACCTGTGTGGGCCACCACAGGGAGACTCTGTGGGCAATGTACTTTAACAAATGGTCATTACTCTTCTGATCAAGGACTATGTCATTGTCATAAGACACAACCCAAGTATGAATCTTTTAGGCCACATTTTATGCTTCAAGAGTGTGTCTGGGTACCACAGTTTTTTTTGATCCACTCATCTGCTGATGGGCACTTAGGCTATTCCCAAATCTTAGCTATTGTAAATTGTGCTGCTATGAACATAGGGATGCATATATTATTCCTGATGAGTGTTTCTGATTTCTTAGGAAATATTCCTAGAAGTGGGATTACTGAAGTGGGTTAAATGGGAGTTCCATTTTTAATTTTTTGAAGAAACTCCATCCTTTTTTCCACAGTGGCTGCACCAGTCTGTATTCCCACCAGCAGTGCACGAGTGTTCCCTTTTCTCCACATCCTTGACAGCACTTGTCATTGTTGATTTGTTGATGATAGCCATTCTGACAGGTGTGAGATGATACTTCATTGCTGTTTTAATTTGCATCTCTCTGATGATTAGAGACCTTGAGCATTTTTTCATATGTCTCTTGGCCATCTGTATGTCCACTTTGGAGAAGTGTCTATTTAAGTCTTTTGTCCATTTTTAAATTGGATTGTTTGTCTTCCTGTTGTTAAGTTTTATGAATTCCTTATATATTTAGTATTTTAACCATTTATCAGATGTATCATTGCTAACTATGTTCTCCCATACAGTGGGCTCCCTTTCCATTCTGTTGATGGTTTCTTTTGCTCTGCAGCAGCTTTTTATTTTGATGTAGTCCCATTTGTTTATTTTCTTCTTAGTTTCCGTGGCCCTAGGAGATGGATCTGTAAACATTGCTATGAGAGATGTCTGAGATTTTGCTGCCTGTGGTTTCTTCTAGAATTTTTATGGTTTCATGACTTACATTTAGATCTTTTATCCATTTTGATTTTATTTTTGTGTATTGTGTCAGTGGTCTAGTTTCATTGTTTTGCATGTATCCCTCCAATTTTCCCAACGCCATTTAGAGACTATCTTGACTCCAATGTATGCTTTTGGCTCCTTTGTCAAATATTAGTTGAGCATAATGTCTTGGGTCAATTTCTGGGTTCTCTGTTCTGTTCCATTGATTAATATGCCGGTTCTTGTGCCAGTACCAGGCTTTTTAGAGAACAGTGGCTTTGTAGTATAATGATATCTGGTATTGTGATTCCCCCTACTTTTTTCTTTTTTCTCAAGGTTGTTGCAGCTATTTGGGATCATTTTTGATTCCATATAAATTTTGGAGTGTTAGTTCTAAGTCAGTGAAATATACTGTTGGTATTTTAATAGGGATTGCATTGAATCTATAGACAGCTTTGGGTAGTTTGGCCATTTTAATAATGTTGATTCTACAAATCCATGAACACAGTGTATTCTTCCACTTGTCTATGTCTTCCTTTATCCCTTTTTTTTTTTCAATTTCCTGTAGTTTTCAGGGCACAGATCTTTTACCTCCTTGGGTAAGCTTATTCCAAAGTATCTTAATTATTTTGTTTCAGTAATAAATAGGATTTTTTTTTTTTTAGTTTCTTTGTGAGTTTATTATTGGGGTATAAAATGCCAGATTGTACCATTATCAGACTACAGATTATCTAGGAGTAGAGCAGCAACCCCCATAACCTGAGGTGGTCATCAATGAGGTATCCCTGACCAATAACCTAGAGAAGGTTCCAAAGGTTTGATGTGCCCAAACTTTCTGGATAAGGTGAAGTCAGTAACCTTTGTGCTGTTCCCTTCCCAATCTGGAGACAACTTGGTCAAAAATGAAGAATTCCTTACTTTGTTCCCAGTCTCTGATGGTGGACATTTTGCCATGATGAACACAGGAATGAAATCCAACAAGCAATTATAGCAATCTAGATAGTACTGGCTTGTCCTGTGACTTGGTTCCACTTGGTGTGGGTATCTATGTGAATAACTCAGATAATTCATTTAGGAGCTGTGATTTATTTCTTGTGGTTCTAAAGAGAGAGGTCTTTAATCTGCCAGTCTGTGTAATTTACAGATACATTTCTAAATTGCAGATCATACAGCTAAGCTGTAGTAAGGTTTATCAGAAAAAATATAGGTCAGAGCAATGAGAATTAATGAGTTCTGTCTATGCAGCAGAGCAGCATGTCTATTCTTGGGCATGGGCAGACCCTTGACTTCAACCCTAGCCATCTTTCTACTTGAGGGACTAACATCAGGACATATACAGGGTACAAAGGGAGAAATTAGTGGACATGAAGAGAGGGAGAGTTGGTCCAAAAGTGTAAGGCAAGACATGTTTTCTTTTTGGCTTTTTAGCAGTTTAGAATGCTTAGCCAGCTATTTACTTCTATGCCTTAGCCTTCACTTTACAGCTTGAAGGCAAGAGTGAAAACCAGACTGAGATCAAGGATTAGTTTTGTGGTAATATTTAAAAGCTTTCCTGATTATTGTTGAAGTTAGTACTTAAATATGTTTATCTAAAAGCTTCCCAGACAGCTCTCCCAAGGGTGAAACAAAGGCAAATTCATGTATAGGTTTCTTAGGGAGTAGTCAGAAAGGTTTGGTGGGGCCATAAGGTATTCAAAGTAATGTTTCCCCTGGCACTATTAGCCTACACTAATAAATAAGTGTGGGCTGCTGTCGTTATGCTGTTGTTGACCTTGGGGTGTGAGGAATAGTGGGCAGGAAGTTTGAAATTGCATAGGACTCTCCTGAAAGTAGCTGTTTTTTTAGTCACTATGCCTTCTGTTGGGCTATTTTCTATTGGGCTAAGTTTTCATTTTGTGCTGTAAGTTTTCAGAAGATTCCAGAGTTCTTCAGAAGTTGATTCTAATAGATCCTGCCAGCACTTCATTGTTGAAGGCACAAAACCTTGGAGTTTCTAATCCATCATTATGGTAGTCCCTCCCCTTTCTTTTCCTATTTTGATTCAGAGAAACATTATCCTATATAATAAAAGCCTAATATGCAAATCGACCAAACAGCGGAATGACCGATGGAATGACTGGTTGCTCTAATGCACACTGATCACCAGGGGGCAGACGCTCAATGCAGGAGCTTCTCCCAGCATGCAGGCCCCAGGCCAGACAAGGTGGGTGCAGTGGTGACCCCCCGATCACCCTGCCGATCACCCCGCTGAGGGAGGTGATCAGCGGTGGCAGCAGGAGGCAGGGCCAGCTGGCGAACGGGCCAGTACCACCCCCTAATCACTCCGCTGGTCGCCTCCAAGGCAGGTGCCAGCAGGGGTCCCCCTACTGCCCCGCTGGTCGCCTCACAGATTGGCCCTGATCGCTGGCCAGGCCTAGGGACTCTACCCTTGCACGAATTTCGTGCACCAGGCCTCTAGTTACTTTATAAAAAAAACTATGAAAGGGTGAAAAAACCCTGTCAAATGATGACATATACTATTAATCATACCATGTGCATATAAACATGAAGAAAGTATAAACTGCATGTAAAAATGAACACACAAAATAAATAAGAAACTCTACTTTTCTGTATGGCATAGGTTTCCTCTCTTGATTATATTTTATTTAACTGCTTTTCCCATTTTTTTTTCCTTATTCTCTCTAGCTTGTGATTGGCACAATGGAAGAATCTAGAATTTGCAGACCAGGTGTAAAAGCAGATATGTTGTGTAACTCTCAGTCAAATGATATTCTTCAACATCATGACTCAAATTGTGGTGGCACAGGTAACAAACATTCACTGGAAGAGGATGAAGGCAGTGACTTTATAACAAAAAACAGGAATTTGGTGAGCCGAGCATACTGCATGCAAGAGTCAAGAGAGAAACCTCCTGGGCCTAAATCTGGAATAGAGCCTTCTGATAGTCAGCAAGGTTCAGAGTGCAACAGGAACAAAGAAAGAACTTTAGGTAATACTCTCTGCTTAATGGTTGAACATTTTTATACACAGCTCATTTACTTATGTTTTCTACAGCACATATATAATTATGGAATATGGCAAGGTTTGAGGTTGATGTTACTTAGCTACTACATCTGTTTTCTTTGGTCAGGTCAGTGTGCCTGTCTGCTACAATTCCATGCAGGAGGTGAACAAAGCAGAGTAGGAATCTTAGTTATAAGAACCATGGTTATTTTTCTCTGAATAATCAAAAATTATTTTTTCTGAAAATATTGGTGACCAGTTTTGCAGAATTAGTATTTGATTTGCCTTGTTATTTGATCTTTTAAAGTAATCCAACCAGTAATTACTGTTAAAACTATATATGTGTCATTTATTTAAAGCATATTCACTAAAATTTAAAAATGATATGTTATCTGTTGTTTAGAAAGTGGACTAATAAGAGTGGATTTTAAGGTATGTTTTCCTCCCTACTGCTGTATTAGTTTGACAGTTAGTAATTAGAATGTGGTATGTTAAATGTCATGGAAAAAATCTGAAATCCTTATTTTGCCATACTGTTTGCCCCTCAGTATTGTATTCCAATTATATGTAATAGTTATCTTGTCAATTTTACTGACTCTGTACATGATTATAGCCAGGATTTTTTTTCTTTAATCTGTCCTTAAGCATATAAGAAGTATTTATAACCTCTTGCAAACAAGACCAATATCTTCAAAAATAATAGTCCTAATAGTGTTTGTAAAATACAGTTTCACATTAAATTTTTTGTTTTAAATAGAGTTTAAAACCTTCAGAAAAGTTCAGTTTACTTTTTACTTTTATTTGTTAGACATTTAGTAATTATATTCCTCTTTTTATTTGGACTTGAATTTAATAAGAAAAGGTTTTAATGCTAAAATTTTATATGTATAGGAAATTACTCATTTTGAAGTCACTCTGTTCTTCCCTTCCATATTTATAGAAGTCTATAAAGTATACCACATATCAAAGTTCTCTTCAGATGAATAAAAAGAAAAATATTTTACATACAAGAGTGAATATTTTAGCAAATAAATAGGTCCTACTCCCAGATCAAGAAATAAAACTTTTATTGTTTAGTTTCTCACACTATTTCAGCCCCCCTTTTTTCCCCCCACCAAAGTTTTTAAAGTACTATTTTAATACTCTTTCCTCAAGGGATGAGCTAATTTGTCTTCCTTTTTTTTGGCACTATACTTGGTTAATACTAAGATATGCTTAGTAAATCATCAGAAAACACAACTCAGGAAAAATGTGTAATAATGGATTATGTGCATTTTAGATACAGGCAGAGTATGCTTGCTTTTTGAACTTTCTTGTATATTTGTTCCTGATAGGAGGAAGTTCTTAAAAACATTCACATCCTTTAGGAAAATATCTTAACTTGGAATCAGTGATTTGGCTAGTGTTTCTAAACTTTCAATAAGTGTTACTACTGTTTAAGTGCCAGTTAGCTAATACTTACCAGAATTAGAGGGTAAGTGAAGAAATTTGGGTATGGGGCTACTAAATCACAATTTGAAAGTAGTTTCTGTAATTTAGGAGGTGAATCTCTATACCTAATTATATAGCCTAAAGTTATATTCTGGGTGTCTGAACATAAGTTTTATTTGGAATTTACAGATTGTTTTAATATTACCTTCTGGTACTTTTCTTCTTTTATTTTATTATTAGGAAAAGAAGTATTATTATTGATGCAAGCCTTAAATACTCTCTCAACTCCAGAGGAGAAGCTGGCAGCTCTCTGTAAGAAATATGCTGATCTTGTGAGTATAAGGGAGCAAGACCCATGTAAAATATGTCAAAATACACATCTGCTTGATAAACTTTTAATGTATAATTTTGATATAGCTTTAAATGTAAATTATATTTTTTTACAGAATTAAGGGAAGAATCTAATTTTTTAGAACTTAAGTTGGTTGTATGGCCCTGTTTTATGATAGGATATGTTGAAACATTGTAATGCTTTTGAGATGTTAAATAGATCTCCTAAAACTCAATAAGCCTCAAACATTTCTAGGTCAGCATTTTCATTTGTATGTTTACTTGTCTCTCTGTTGGGAGTGAATATGTTCTGTATTTAAATTCAGAATTCTATACATAACTGCATATTAGAGGTGAAAGCTTTAAACCATTTTGATTGATTGTGAGTCCTATGAAATAGTTTAGCATGCCAGTTTTCAACAAGTGTGCTGCTGTAGGCACATTGGTGTACCTCAAGAATTTTTTAGACATGAAATACCAGACTAATTTAGTCAGTGCACTGACCTTTGGTCCCCTCGACTGGAAAAAATGACAACCAACATAAGAGCCTCTTGCAAACTTTTTACTCTTAAAAAGTGTGAATTAGACTTACACCTTTTTTTGTTTTTGTCAGATTATTTGGTGTGCTGCAGAATGTTAGTAACTAGTGTATGTGTGCCATTAGATGATAAAGATTGAAAATTTCTGCTGTACTGAAATAGCCAGATGATTAAAATCAAAAGAGCAGTTTTTATAAAAGAGCAGTTTTTATGAAAGATGGAAATAAAAAAAGAGGAAGAAAAAAAAGATAAATAAAGGAGTGAAATTAGGTAGGAAAAGTAGTAGAATAGGTAAAGTAGTGGACTTGGTGATATGACAGATGCAGCCAGCCATGAAAGGATTAGGGGGGAAAAATAGTTAGCAAAGTGGCCCAGGACAGTCCTTTTCAAACTTATGCAGGTCACTTGGGTATCTTGTTAAATTGCATATTCTGATTCAATATGTGTAAAAAGATTAAAGTGATATGAGGTGGGTTGGAGGAGATGGCTAAGATACTGCATTCTAAAAAGATCCCAGGTGATGGCCCAACCTGCTGATCCAGGGCCTAGAACAGCAGGTTCAGCAATCAAGTGGTGTTTTATTTACTTATTTACAGTTTTGTGGGGCATAAGGAAGAGCATATGGTAAGTATGAATTACTGAGTTTGTTTTAGGAAGTGATGCATTATAGCTTCTCTTTGGTTTAGTTTTATCCCTATGAAGAGCAGTAATTCTTGGGAATAATAAGAGATACATATACTTTGGTTTAAAAAATGTTTTAAAACACTTTCTGTAAAACAATAGTTAGAATATATAACCGAGTATACTACCTTGGGAGTATATCCCTGTCAAAAAAACAAGAGAACCACATGGAGATCAGAAAGACAGATAGACCCCACCCCATAGCAGTGACCCACTTTGAGAGGGAATTCACAAACTTGGAGCTTCTACTTAAAGAGAAAAGGGATTGTATCTCACATCAAGCACAACAGCTTTATGGGATGCACTTTTTATGGCTGACTGGATCTGCCATATTATCAGTCCACTAGTTAGCTTTTTATTCTGCTACTTTTCTACCTAAAGTGAACTCCTTTGTCCATTTATCTTTTATTATTGTCTTTTTTATCACTGCCCATTTGACTTTCATCATGTGGCTATTTCAATGGAAACTATCTTATATATCCAAAACATCTGGCTTTGAAAACCAGTGGAGGTTCTGATGTAGGACATCCAAAAGACTGTAGTAAATGAGAAATAGCTCTTAAAAGGCTCATGCACAGACTCTCTAGACCAGGGGTGGGCAAACTTTTTGACTCGAGGGCCACAATGGGTTCTTAAACTGGACCGGAGGGCCGGAACAAAGGCATGGATGGAGTGTTTGTGTGAACTAATATAAATTCAAAGTAAACATCATTAAAAAAAAGGGTTTGGTTTTTTTTTTTTTTTAGTTTTATTCACGGCTGGCCTAGAGCCTTCAGAGGGAGCATGGCCCTGCCAGCCATTTGACTTTGGACTTCTGGTCTCCAGAACAGGGAGAGAATGGAGTTATGTTGTTTTAAACCACCGAGTTCGTGGTGTTTGTTACAGCAGACACGGGAAGCTAATACAGACACCATAAGTGGTTGTGATTATCATAACTATTCCTCTGTGCGGTTCAACCAAAATTCACATCCGATCTCAAGTGAGGGCAGGTTGTGTGCACACGCCCACGGCTGTGCACGAAGATGAACGCCTTGCACTAAGGGCATCCTCTCCCCGCACAGGGGCCACTCCCTGGAGGGTGTACCGGCCCCTCCCTTGCTACATGGTGTTTGAGAAACCTTCTAGTCATCCCGCAATCTGACTTGGCCAATTTCCTTACTGAAATCAGACCTCCTCATAACACTGCACCTCAGCAGCCTGGCTTCCGGAGCAGTCCGGGAGCCCTCAGTGGATGTCCTACTGATGGCCACAGTCTGGCAGCAGAGACTCGGAGCAGGTGTCCCGTGTGTGTGTGTTTGTGTGTGTGTGTGTCTGCTGGAGTGATTTAGTAATCACACACCCTGGAGGCTTGGAGCAGGCACCCCTCTCTGTTGATCTCTCAGGCTGCTGGTCTCCACTGCATGTTGTACTCTCCCTTGAGTTGTGGCCAGAGTGGGGCGCCCTTTCCTGCTGTGGGATCACCGGGGCAACCCAGGGACAGGCGCACAGGGGGACTGGCTGCAGGCCGCCCTATCCTGCTGTAGGATCGCATGGGCGATCCCATGGGCAGGCAGGTGCACATGGGGGCTGGCTGCAGGCCGCCCTTTTATGCTCTGGGATCGCCAGGGCGATCCCACTGGCAGGTGCACAGGGGGGCTGGCTGCAGGCCACCCTTTCCTTCTGTGGGATCGCTGCAGTGACCCAGGGGCAGGTGCACAGGGGGGCTGGCTAGAGGCTGCCCTTTCCTGCTCCGTGATCGTAGCGGTGATCCCACAGGCAGGTGCACAGGGGGGCTGGCTAGAGGCCGCCCTTTCCTGCTCCGGGATCGCCACGGCGATCCCACGGGCAGGTGCACACGTGGGCTGGCTAGAGGCCGCCCTTTCCTGCTGTAGGATCTCCGGTTGCTGATCCAGGGCAGGGGCGGACAGGGAAGAGGTGGGCGCCCGCCTCTTCCCTGCCCCCCTCCGGCTTCTCTGATCACCGGCAGGGGCGCGGGCAAAGGCGCCCGGTTCTCTGATCCAGGGCCAGGGGCAGTGCCTCCCAGCTCTTGCCTGCTGCCTGTGTTTCCAATCACCGTCGTTCCCCATCACCTTCGTTCCCCTATGGCCTCCCATCATTGTGCCTATGTATGCAAATTACCACCATCTTTGTTGGCAGTTAATTTGCATATAGCCCTGATTAGCCAATGGGAAGCGTGGCGGAGGTACGGTTAATTACCCTTTTTGTCTTGTATTAGATAGGATACCCTGTTCTTGAATCAACGAATTCGTGCACCTTGAAAGGAACTGTAGGCGGCGAGGCTGCAGTGGGCACAGGAGTGGTCCTCGGCCCATTCTCTGCCCTCCCCGTGGATACTCCTGCCATGGCTCCTGATCCCCTGTCTGCTTGCAGCCCTGCTCCCGCCGCCGCTACTCCCACGTGCTGATGGAACTGGCCCCACTTGCACCTGCTGTTGGCGTGGATCAATTGGGGCCAGCACCAGCAGCAGGTGTGAGCAGCAGCTCTGGTGCTGGCTGCAGGTGTGAGCACTAGGTGGGACCATGGCCTGTGGAAGCAAAGAATTTTTAGTAATCACACACACACACACACACACACACACACACACACACATTATGGCATAATACAATGTGTTCTCCAAAATATATATACACACACTTTGAATAATTATAAAGGCAGGGATTATTAAAATACATTTCATTTTCAAAATTGATCTATCACTTATTAAAATGTGTATGCATTTTTTTGAGACATCCTGTATATCTAATGCTGATGTATGTATATGAATGGCAATGTCAGGTGGTAAGTTTTGAATTTGTAGAAGTGATGCAAGAGAGTGTTGCAGGAATTTAGAAGGAAGTCATGTCAGTGTGAGATAGTGTGATTGGGAAAGGAGGGTCTGCCCCTGTAGAGGAGGTGGGACACTGCCTAGCCCTGAATGATGAGAAGTGAGCAGAGATTTGAGCGGAAGGAAGAGTATTAGCTTCCTATTATACTTATTAAGCAAGAATGTTATTAATATCTCTAAGCCTATATGAAAGGTAGCAGGGTGGCAAAGCATGGCCAGGGATTAAAGCTATAATTTTTTTTTTAAATCTTTATTGTTGAAAGTATTCCATATGTCTTCTTTTCCCCCCCAATGACCCCTTATGACCCATCCCCACCACCCAGAGACTTCTTAACCAATATTTTTAAAAACTTTTTTCAATATATGTGTTTGTGTGTGTGTCCCAATCCGGCTGATGGCTCCTAACTGCTCACCTGCCTACTGGCCTGATCTCCCTAACTGCTCTCCCCTGCCTGCCTGATCGCCTCTAACCACCTCTGCCTCCATGGCTTTGTCTGGAAGGACATCCAGAAGGTCGTCCAGAAGACCCGCGGGCCGTAGTTTGCCCATGGCTGCTCTAGACCTAGTTGCAGTGCAGAAGCAGCTGTTTGAATAGTGTCCAGAATTTTTGTGATGACATTCATTCTATAATTTTAAGATAATGGGCCTAATCTTTTCTTTTTCCATTCATTCATTTATTTTTTTATTCATTTACTAGAGGCTGGGTGCATGAAATTTGTGCATGGGTATGGTCCCCATGCCTGGCCAGCGTTCAGGGTCAGCAGTGCCTCCACAGCCGCCTGCTGCCAGCGCTGCATTGCCGACATTTGCTGTGTTCCGCGCTGCCCCCTGGGGGTCAACGTACATCTAACTCCTGGTTGGTCAAATTCCCGCTCTTGGGGACAATTTGCATATTAGCCTTTTATTATATAGGACTAGAGGCCCGGTGCAC